GTACTTAACCCACTGTCGACATCGCCCAAAGTGACCGAGTCAATTTTTTTCAGTCAGGTCGCACCGCACAAACTGCGTCCTGCATATTGTTAGCATTTTAAAGGTTACTTAATTGCCTCCGATTAACAGTGTAACTAAAGGCCACAAACAAAAATAAAACATGCCATATTTACTGGTCTAAGGGCAGTATTACGGGGAAACATAGCATCGATTCTCGTAAGTAAGTGGTCAAGCTGAGACTGTTTAGTAGGCTACTAATTTAGTCAGTATGTGGATTTTACAAAATCCCGCTGAAGATTGTATGAAGAGGTTCTCTCAGAGACGCTACGCAGTCCTTTGGTATGGCTTCTAATCTGAAGTTTTAAAAACACAGGGATAAGATACATTTTATATGTTCACCTAATTAAGAGTAATGAGTTGTGGTAACGTGAGCATTGCGGTTGCGTCCATGAATGGTCGAATTTCAGGTAGTGTTCCAAGGATAAAATCGATTGCAAGCAAAATATTAAACAAAACGGGAGATTTTGAATTAGACCAATGCTTTGTTTGTCGATAGGTAACACTAACATTGGTCAAGGAAATTCAGATATCACGTCTAAAAAATAAACATACATTCGAATGTCCCATTTTAATTTATGCAATCCAGTATGAATTTTAATAGGTTGTTGTGACCTGACTGATCCAAAACGGACAAACGAATTGAAACTCGTCTAGTTCCCGCAATCTTTTCAACCCTGTCACTATTTCGAAATTATTCGCCTACAGAATGTGCGTGTCATGCTTGATATAGGATGTTTTTGTAATAAATACTTTATTCTTCCTGCTATACACAGCCAGGTTGCGTGCGTGGTCACGGATATTTCTGAAAACACGTATAAAACAAGACGTGGATTTGTAAAAGATCCAGAAGCATTCATAGGTGCGTATTGCGCTGACAGGCCTATTTTCACGCAAGTTTCACCGAACATACCTACTGATTTAGTTCAACAGATGAACTGTTTTTGAGTCTGCATGAAATGATTTGGTATGAAGATAGGGCTGCCGCCAACACAGAATGCACCTTTACAGAAAAGGTTTGGAAATCATCTGGCACGCAACAGGTATTTTGTATGCCTTCTAAAACAATTAAACTGGTCTCCACCAGAGTAGCTAATGAATACTGTGTGCTACATATAAACCTGATCGCCATCTCGTAGCTACATGAAAAAAAGCTAGTTTAATTCACAGTTGGTTATGTTGCTAATAAACACAGATTTCCTAATTCCACGGATGTGACTTCCTCTACTGTTTTAGTAGTTCTGGCCTGATTACCCTTGTCTATTTTACTTGCGGTTGCCCGAATGCAGGATTGTTCATATACTAATATTTCATAATTTTGCTTCAAAAGTTAGTCACACTTCCGTTTCCAGTCATGCGATTGGGAATATACATATAAGTACAGCATTGAATACGTAGTGTGGAAGGCCGCATATCATAAGTCCTTGGGTGCAAATGACGGCAGATAAATTCCATGTTTGACTGCAAATTAATTAAATTTCTCCTTATTCGCTCTCAGTTATTTCTATAGTTGGGATTCATGAATTGGTTGGAACACGAAAAGGGTCCTTTTCAGATTTGGCGCACAGTTATCTGTCATATCGGTGTAAGTGTTTTCGTGTCATGGCATTTATTGCTGTTAAATGCATGTTTAAAAGAAAAAAACGTTTTCAGAGACCGGTGTTTTTGTTTATGTCTTTGATGAAGAATCCGCGACTGATTTCAAAACGTCAGGCGAAAAAAACGCGGATCCCAGCAACCACATTTTTTTTTCTCTCGAAATCATTTTTTGCATTTGCTTTGGGTTTTCAGAGAACTACCAATAAGAAGGGTGGGAATTTACTAAATGCTTAAATTACACAATTACCGAACGCAATTACCGAGGAAAACACTTCCATGAATGCCATTGTCGTCCTATATTATCTTGAAGGCAAGCCCCAGTTAATTATTATAACTTAACGTAGAAAATTATAAAAACCTACCATAGATATTAGTATTGTGATGTTTCGTTATGATATCAGCTCTAGTATTCGTCGGCATACTGCGCTGTATTGGTTATTTTTCAAAGTAGGTTAAATGCATGTACTTTCTGAAGGGAGAATAGTTATTTGTTTTATCTGGACACATTCTATTTTAAGCGAATTACTGCCTTTTTTCTAGGTTGGTTGCACTCACTTCACTGGTAACTGCTCGGCATCATAGGCTTACCGAAAAGGAGTGATTAACAGTGTTGTACATAACTTTCAAAAATTTAAGGGCAAGAATTTTAGGGCATGTTCTAGTAGTTGAAGCAGTTTAAATTGACAGGTACACGGAATATACTAAGTTAAGCGGATGAGATACTAAAGCGCTTAGAACATCCGCCCACTTTTTGCATCCCGTGCTACTGTTAATTTATCTGGAAATTGACCCCTGGACATGCCATCGCGCTACCCTTAGGCGTGGCCTCTTTGACTATGGAAAAGGCAATATTCCTATTTAAACGTTATCGGATTTGGCAGTTTAATTAATAGTCTCACGACAAAGCCCAAATTTCGGTATTTGGAAATAATACGTTTGCGTGTTTATTTAACTGGGCCTTGATAACTGAGACATAACAGACTTTGTCACATATAGACGGTGTTTTCTAATCTACGCAAATAATTAGATCAAGGCGCACCGAATTGCAAGCCGTGTTTCATGTTCTAAAATTGTCTGCGCATTCTCATGCGTGATACATGTGTCTGTGTAGATATCTCACCTATAGTCTAAACTGTTCAGCTAATCATTTGCTTCAGAAGAGTTCACCTTTCGCTACTATTTTGAGACATCCATCCATATGCGCTTTTTGGGAAGGAATACATAGCTTTTACGACTTTAGCTGTATCAACACAATGCAACATGGGAAACTATAATGAATTAAGTCCTACAAAATTATAAAGACAAAAATGCAACAGATAAAAGACCTTAACCAAAGGCCGTCTCAAAGGTTAATACGATATGACACAGTAGATGACCAGTTCTAGTGTATTAGTAACCAAATAATTTGCCGTCTACTGAGGGACGAAACGGTTGTCCGCATGTAATATATTTATACAATTTTTCCAGATTCATTGACCGAGTACTCGAGTTTAGCCGTACAATGGGGAACTTAAATACATAGTTTAAAACTTTTTTTGTTTTAAGATAAATGGTCCAAGGGCTTGAGTATAAGTCTTCGACAGCTCGAACGTCGCAAACAATGAAGTTAATCAATTTGTTAGGCTGTGGGTGCTGCTATGACTGGTGTGCGAAATGATTTGCAGTGAAGTCGACTTTCAATACATTGACTTCACTATAATTTCTTACACTTACTGACTCCCTATTACGTGAAACAAATCAGGAATTAACAGAAGGGTTTGTTGAACCGAGCCTGAAGAGGCTAATCGTCACGCCCAAACTTGCTACACATGAACTTGATCCTAAATCAGAACGCATCCGTCTTCAGATAACGAAATCTGAAATCATACAAGTAAGAGTGCTGAAGAGGCTACACAATGTAGGCATTGCACGCTAGTTTTCACCTTGAAGGAAGGTTCGGTTCTGTCCGTGGCCGGGATAAGTTCATGTCGCATCTTTAAGCGCCATGGAATAGGCTCGCTCGCTCGCCTTGCATTGATTGTATGAGGAGCACACTAACACTTTCTAGAGCTGAATTACCTAGGATTGGATAAACGTTTTCATTCAATTCTAATCAACAAATATGAGCCATCCAAGTATATTAGTCGACTTTTTATAAGACTGGTCATGATGCTATGTGTGACTTGAAAGCCATTCGTATCGACAGTATTTCAGGATTAAAGTAGTTCAAGAAGAGTTCAATTAATGTATGAAATTGCTTACTGGGGCAATTGCGGTCACTGTAAACCAAATCGATTACGCTTCGTTTGAAAATCGAGAAATCTTTAGTCAACGAGAAAGCTAATGACAGGGCTTTTATGACCCTAATGTACTTTATATTCTGACTGTTCATTTAACTGGGATATATATCGTCCACAAACGTGACAGTCAGATACAGTTGACGGGATCTTGTTCTCAAATATTTAACTACGGCGCTGCTTTTCGGTTAATGCAGGTAAATAAAATCTAAACTAAGGGACGCGCACTGGTGGCGGTTAATCATAAGAAAATGCCAAACTTGACGTTAACGCAGGTTTAGCAATTTGCACATTCGTAGCGCGTGACTGGCATGTAAATAACGATAATTAGAACCCAACGTTTGTTTTCATCAATAATAGTACCAAGCTACTTTTATGATGAGAAATATTTGAAAAATTGAGAGTTATCGTAAGGTGTTTAAGGGATTCCACTTATTTTTGTGATACTTTGGGCAACAAAAGCTTATGTAGTCCCTCTGATTAATCCCTACCCTCAGCATTTTGTCCTACGAAAACGGTCGTTACAGGGGTTTATGGGTGAGGAAATAGGATACGCAGTGGAATATAATTTAATGCCTGCTATATGCATTTTTATTTTATTGAATTTAGAAGTTTTGTTCATTTATACATGTAGATTTTCCTATTCTGTGTAATCGTTTGACATATTACGGAAAAGCCCGATTATCAAATTTGAGGTTACTTGAAATTCCCAAAAAATAGAAATGGTGGATGGGGATCGTCTTCTTCAACTTACTTGAGGTCCAACGTACCGTTGTGGAGTTATATTGTTAGTGTCCGTGGCGCAACGCGCCGCACACACCTTCAGTTTACATGCGGAACAACTCACTCCCAACGGCCGCCGGAAACAACTTCGTTTACATTTTTTCACTTATCACTTACTTTCAAACATTTCCTTCTCTGCCTATCCTATTGCCCCAACACAAAAAGCCTATAACCTCCGTTTTCATACCCCGCAATGTGATAGCTGCTTGATTACTCACGTCTCCCCGACAAAACATTAAGTCGTCTACAAACAATTCAGTGCCCCCACGCTTATACCACAACACCATGGCCCGGTGCATGTGGTTATGGCCACAGCTCTGGCATAAGATTACGAGACCGGCCAGGTTCGGCGAGGCACGCTGGCCCCATCCGAATAAACCTAGCCGGAAAGTACTATATCTGCCTAAACCACGTGGAAGTCCAAACTGTATCGTTGCGCATCTCTGGACGGGATTCAGACTTAGAGGCGTTC